AAAATGATAATATAAAACCATGATAAAAATACACTTTTAAGTACTAATCAGTGGGGGTACATAGTGAAACTATAGCCTGCAAAACCCAAGCTCCAGGCTAGAGGGGTGCTGGGCACACCCCAGCACATACGTGATGCTTGGATTCCTGCCTATGGGTTGGACACTCATCAGCACACACGTGGCGCTTGTGCTATGCTGGATGAGCCATGATCACGCCATATTAGGGACAAATAGAGCTTGTGTCATGGTTCCGAACTCAAGAGGAATGGGTCTAGTGTCATGACCCATGACTAATGGATCTAGCGTAAGGATCCAATTCTATTAGGTCCTTTATCAAGACTCAATGTTTATAAGTTCTAGGATTTTAAATATTATTTTTTATTTTAAAAATATTATTATTTTTATTATAATTATTTTTATTAATAAAATACTTAATAAATTTAAAAAAATATTATTATTTTTATTATAATTAATATTATTAATAAAATACTTAATAAATTTTAAAAAATATTATTATTTATATTATAAATTTTTATGGTATTTTTATAAAAATAAAAAGTGAGCCTGTGACATAGTATTAGTAAAAATATTCAATAATTCTAAGTATTAATATAAAAAATATTATAATTTGTGTTGTCAATATTATTATTTTTCTTAGAATACAAAGTATTCATCTCAAAGATATTATTTTTGTTGTTATAATATTATTATTTTTGCAATAATTCAAAGTTTTAATATAAAAAAAATATTATTATTTGTGTTTTAAATATTTTTAGAATTAAAAGCAATATTATTTGTATTATGAATATTATTATTTTTACTATAATCAAAAGTATTAATATTAAGAGTATTATTTTTTATGTTATAAATATTATTATTTTTATAATAATCAATATTATTAGAAAAAATTATTTTTAATATTGAAACCAACCAAAGATTTGTTTTGAAAGGTAAAATGAAAATTACTAATAGTATTATTATTATCATCATTAATAAACTTTAAAAAATTGTTATTACTATCAAAGAAAAACCATGTAAGGACACGTGACTATTGGGTTCCTACCTGGGGGTTGGGCACACCCTTTGCGCACACGTGATGCTTGGGTTATGTATCAATGCTGGGCACATCTCAATTCACACATGACGTTTGGGTTCTTACTTCAGTGCTAGGCAAATCCTGCGCACAGGTGGCGCTTGGGTCCTGCTTATGAGTTAGGCACTCTTCAGCGCACACATGGCTTTTAGGTTGTATTGGGTCAGGGACAACTGGTGCTTAGGTCAGGGCTCTGCACGCAAGGGGGATGGATCGAGTGTCATGACCCATGATCAATGGGTCTAGCATAAGGAACTAATTCTATTGGGTCTTGCATTAAAACTCAATGTTCATCGGTTCTAAGATTCTAAATATTATTATTTATTTTAGAAATGTTTTTTTATTATAATTAATATTGTTAATAAAATAATTAATAAATTTGAAAGGAAATATTATAATTTATATTATAAATTTTTATGGCATTTTTTATAAAAATAAAAAGTGAGCTCATGGCATAGTATTATTAAAAATATTCAATAATTCTAAGTATTAATATAAAAAATATTATAATTTGCATTGTCAATATTATTATTTTTTCTTAGAATACAAAATATTCATCTCAAAGATATTATTATTCTTGTTCTAATATTATTATTTTTGAAATAATTCAAATTTTTAATATAAAAAATATTATTATTTATGTTCTAAATATTCTTGGAATTAAAAATAGTATTATTTGTATTATAATAGTATTATTTTTACTATAATCAAAAGTATTAATATTAAAAATATTAGTTTTTTGTGTTATAAATATTATTATTTTTATAATAATCAATATTATTAGAAAAATAATTACTAAATTAGAAAAAAATATTATTAATATTGAAACCAACCAAAGATTTGATTTGAAAAGTAAAATTAAGAATTACTATTAGTATTATTATTTTCATCATTAATAAATTTTAAAAAATTATTATTACTATCAAAGAAAAACCACGTTGGGATACGTGGCTATTAGGCTCTTGCCTGGGGGCTGGGTATGGCTGGGTATACCTTTTGCACACACGTAGCACATGGACTCCTGCCTTAGTGCTAGTCATATCTTGCTCACACGTGGCGCTTGAGCTCCTACCTTTAAGTTGGACACTTCTCAATGTACACATGGCCATTAGACGTTGTTGGGTTAGAGACAAGTGGCACTTGGATCATGACTCAGGACTGAAGAAAAATAGGTTGGGTCTCAGAACCTATGATTAATGGGTCTAGTGTAAAAATCCAATTCTATTGGATCCTTCATCAAGATTCAATGTTCAAAAGTTATAGGATTCTAAATATTATTATTTATGAATATTATTATTTTTACTATAATAAAAAGTATTAATATTAAAAATATTATTTTTTTGTGTTATAAATATTATTATTTTTATAATAATTAATATTATTATTAAAATAATTACTAAATTAGAAAAAAATTATTTTTAACATTAAAAACAATCAAATATTTGATTTGAAAGGTAAAATTAAAAATTACTAGTAGTGTTATTATCATCATTATTAATAAATTTTAAAGAATTATTTTTTACTATTGAAAAAAAAATCACGTGAGAACACGTGGTGCTTGGCTCCTACCTAGGGATTTAACACATCCTTTCACACACGTGGCGCTTGGGCTATGCCTCAGTGTTGGGCGCATCCCAATACACTTGGGCTTGTGCCTTGGTTGTGGTAAAACTCCTATGTATACGTGACGCTGAGCTATTACTTCAGTGATGGGCACACCCCCTGCGCACATATAACGTTGAGCTATTCCTCAGTGCTGGGCACATTCTCTGCAAGCATGTGGCGCTTCGGCTCCTATCTTAATACTGGGGACACCCCTGCACACAAGGTAATTGGATTGTCTATTTAGGGGCTAGGCATACCCCCAGCACATAAGTGGAGCTTAGGCATGAAAGACCCAAATATTCTTGAGCCCTGTATGATGTAAATTCTAAAATAGTCTTAGATCATTGGTTGTCTTAGACCAAATAACCTTGGATCGTGCCATTGTCTAAATCTAATTGTTTTATGAAAATAAAAAATAAACACACGGTGTAACGTGTGCCACCCAACTTATAAATTTTTATAATTGAAATGGTATTTTTCTCAAATGACTTGATATGCAAACAAATATAATAACTAACAAAGACAATAAATTAATCTAGATTGGAACAAGTAAAATGGAATTAATTTTAAGACAATTTTTTTTTAAATGAAATGATCAGCTTTGAAATCTGAAACTCTTAATTGAAAATTTCATGTGCAAAATTAAAAATGGGTGGACGTACGTAGGTGAAGATTACTATAGCTTAATTTGATTTTAAAAAGGATTTAAAATGGAATTCTTTAAAATGGAATTCTGAAGCTCATTTTTTATTCATAATATTGACCTAGAAAACATCCTTTAAATATTATTAAACTAATTTATAACCTTTAAAAACATAAAAAAAATCACTCTAAAATCCATAATTAATAAAAAATAAAAATATTTTCCGAGATTAAATATAATTTTTAAGCACTTTCAAAATTAAAAAAATATTTTCCGAGATTAAATATAATTTTTAGGCACTTTCAAGATTAAAAAAACCATTAATTTTTAGCTTCCTATTATATAGAACTATTTAACACAAAAATTTAGCCAAAATCATTTCCAATAGAAACTTTCTCTACATTTGAATGCAACGATCCCCTCCCTCTCCATTATAAAAAGTTTGGTAAAAAAATTGAATTTTTAAAAATTAAAGGGACCAGTACTACCTAAAAGCTCAAAAAAATTGGAGAATGAAATGAATTTTTCAAAAACATTTCAAAGTCACTCATTTTGTAAGTCTTTTATCTTTCAATTTAACTTTAACTCGAAAACAAATATGTAATTGAATGTTAATTTGGATTCCAAATGGCTCAATTTTACAAGAAGAAAATTCAGGGATCAAATTAAGAGATTTTTAAAAATTCACTATTAAATTCCACATTTATACGTGGGAGTATAAATAATAAAATAGCTACAGTGAAACCTTTATTTCTTTTATATAATAATAATATAATTAACACTTAATAACTCTCTGCCACGATTGAGGACGTAATACAATACGTTGTACCAAAAAACAAACAAACTAGCCAGCGATGAATTCCACCCATTTTGAGTCTTTGCTTTTGTTGCAAAAAAAAAAAAAAAAAAGACGATTTATTCCTGTCCACAAGAAAAGAAAAATGCATCCACAATTAAGGTTAAAGAAATAGAGACTAGAAAAGAGAGGGCATCGTGACCAGATAAACACCAAAACCGAAGTGTCAGTCAATTTTGCTAGCCTCTGTATATACACGCGCACTCTGAGCCCATTCCACTGCTAAACTCATCACCTCATTTTTTTCAGTATGGAAAGTTGGTTCCTTGTTCTTGTCTCCATTTCCATCTCTCTCTTCTTGAAAATTATCTTCAACAATTTCTTAACCTCTAAAAACCTACCTCCAGGTCCCCTAACCTTTCCTTTCATCGGCCACTTACTATGGCTCCGCATGTCCGCCTTCAAGATGGAGCCAATCCTTCGATCCCTCCATGCCAAGTTTGGCCCAATGGTTACCCTCCGTATTGGCACTCGCCCTGCTATCTTCGTTGCAGATCGCACCCTTGCTCATGAGGCTTTAATACATGGCGGCGCAGTTTTTGCGGACCGCCCACCAGCTGTTGCTACGAGAAAAATTATGACTAGCAATCAGCAAAATATTAGTTCTTCGGCTTACGGTCCAACATGGCGACTTCTGCGGCGTAACCTCACTGCAGAAATCCTCCACCCATCGCGTGTGAAATCTTACACTCATGCACGCAACTGGGTTCTGCAAATCCTCCAGAATCGCTTTGAATCTCAAGCGAAAGCCGGTCGTCCTATTTGTGTAATGGAACATTTTCAATATGCCATGTTTTGTCTATTAGTCCTGATGTGTTTTGGAGACAAGCTTGATGAAAATCAGATAAAAAAAATTATGGAAGTTCAGCGACAAATGATAGTGAATTTCGGTAGGTTCAACATACTCAATTTATGGCCAGGAGTGACAAAGATCGTGTTGCGCAACCGTTGGAGGGAGCTGTTTCGCCTTCGAAAATGCCAAGAAGATGTTTTGATTCCATTGATAAGAGCAAGAAAGAAGGCCAAGGAAGAGAGCGTAAACAAAAGTAAAGAGGACAAGAAAGACTATGAGGATGAGTATGTTTTGTCCTATGTTGACACCATACTGGCTTTGGAGCTTCCGGAAGAGAAGAGAAAGCTCAATGAAGAGGAAATGGTCAGTTTGTGCTCAGAGTTTCTAAACGGAGGAACAGATACTACTTCAACAGCGTTGCAATGGATCATGGCAAATCTAGTTAAGTACCCGCAAATCCAGGAGAAGCTATTCATGGAGATTAAAGGGGTTGTGCAAGAAGGTGAAGAGAATATAAAAGAAGAGGAGTTGCAAAAGATGCCATATCTAAAAGCAATAATTCTAGAAGGGTTAAGGAGGCACCCGCCAACCCATTTCGTGTTGCCCCATGCGGTGACTGAAGATGTAGTGCTGGGTAAATATGTGGTACCAAAAGATGGAACTATAAATTTTATGGTGGCTGAGATGGGGTGGAATCCGAAGGTGTGGGAGGATCCCATGGTATTCAAGCCTGAAAGATTTCTAAATAGTGGAGGGGAAACATTTGATATAACAGGAAGTAGAGAGATAAAGATGATGCCATTCGGGGCTGGGAGGAGAATATGTCCTGCTTATGGTCTAGCAATACTTCATTTGGAGTATTTTGTAGCTAATTTGATTTGGAGATTTGAGTGGAAAGCTGTGGATGGAGATGACGTTGATTTGTCTGAGAAAGAAGAATTCACAGTAGTGATGAAAAATCCATTACAGGCTCAAATATGCCCGCGGTTGAAATAAATGATCAGGTTTATTATTATTATTATTATAAAAGATAAGGTTGATTTTGTCTAGTTGGACGATAGCTCTTCATGTAAGATGTAACTCTACTAGTTTATCAAGTCGGATGCTCCTATGTTTGTGTTATTCTTTGTTTGTAAATCCACCCTATTTCAACCCACGTGTCCATATTCACACACACACACACAAACACAAAATTAAAAATTAAAAAAAAGTTACAATTTTTTTATGGAATCTACAATGAAATTTTCGCAAAAAATTGGATTGCCTCGCGTCTTTATGCGACACAGATCCCATCACATTATCTAGTTATGGAAATTTCATGGCCAACTAGGTCCTATCCCAGAAGCTACAAGGAATATTCAAGACATACTCTGCTGGGCAATTTGAAGATTTCTTGGCACTCGGTCTCGTAACAAAAACAACATTTTAATCAAGAGCTGCACCTCAAATTCATCAACGTCAAAATCCAAAGTAATTTATCTCTCTGAGGTGGCTTGTGCTGCAAATTAAAATGCGTTGTTCTGTTCTTGAGTGCGAAGAAAACAGCTTGTCGTGGAGGTCACGCTCCTGTTATAATCCATTAGTCAATTCATCTTGATAGAAAACAAGTCCATATTGTTGACTTTTGAGGATATTTATAATTTTCTATCTTGAACAGCTCAGTGGTCTTTTTCTCCACTGACAAGATATGCAAACAAATTTACAAGTTACAAAGACAGACAGCAAAGTAATCTAGATTGGAACAAGTAAAATGGAATTACTCGTAAGACAATTTTTTTTTTAATGAAACGATCAGCTTTGAAATCTGAAACTCTTCATTGAAAATTTCATGTGCAAATATAAAAATGGGTGGACGGCACGTAGGTGAAGATTACTATAGCTTAGTTTGATTTAAAAAAAGGATTTAAAATGAAATTTTAAAGTTTTTTTTTAGCCAAACCATTTAAAAAACATATTATTAAAAATTATACAAGATAAAAATTTAGAGATTAAATTAAGAGTTTTTTTAAAAAAATTGTGAGAGTATAAATAATAAAATAGCTACGGTGAAACCTTTATTTCTTTTATATAATAAAAATATAATTAACACTTAATAACTCTCTGCCACGATTGAGGACGTAATACAATACGTTGTACCAAAAAACAAACAAACTAGCCAGCGATGAATTCCACCCATTTTGAGTCTTTGCTTTTGTTGCCAATAAAAAAAGACGTTCAAGAAATTAAACGTCCACTGGAAAAGAAAAATGCATCCACAATTAAGGTTAAAGAAATTAACTATATAATAAAAGAGGATTAGTATTTTATTGTAGCGTAAATTATTATTGTTGATGGTGAGTAAATTCATTATAAATTGCACTGTTTCAAATCACTGCATGCATAAATAATTTTACGATGGACTTGACCATTTGGATTTATTATCTGTTGGTCATTTTTTTCAGTATGGAAAGTTGGTTCCTTGTTCTTGTCTCCATTTCCATCTCTCTCTTCTTGAAAATTATCTTCAACAATTTCTTAACCTCTAAAAACCTACCTCCAGGTCCCCTAACCTTTCCTTTCATCGGCCACTTACTATGGCTCCGCATGTCCGCCTTCAAGATGGAGCCAATCCTTCGATCCCTCCATGCCAAGTTTGGCCCAATGGTTACCCTCCGTATTGGCACTCGCCCTGCTATCTTCGTTGCAGATCGCACCCTTGCTCATGAGGCTTTAATACATGGCGGCGCAGTTTTTGCGGACCGCCCACCAGCTGTTGCTACGAGAAAAATTATGACTAGCAATCAGCAAAATATTAGTTCTTCGGCTTACGGTCCAACATGGCGACTTCTGCGGCGTAACCTCACTGCAGAAATCCTCCACCCATCGCGTGTGAAATCTTACACTCATGCACGCAACTGGGTTCTGCAAATCCTCCAGAATCGCTTTGAATCTCAAGCGAAAGCCGGTCGTCCTATTTGTGTAATGGAACATTTTCAATATGCCATGTTTTGTCTATTAGTCCTGATGTGTTTTGGAGACAAGCTTGATGAAAATCAGATAAAAAAAATTATGGAAGTTCAGCGACAAATGATAGTGAATTTCGGTAGGTTCAACATACTCAATTTATGGCCAGGAGTGACAAAGATCGTGTTGCGCAACCGTTGGAGGGAGCTGTTTCGCCTTCGAAAATGCCAAGAAGATGTTTTGATTCCATTGATAAGAGCAAGAAAGAAGGCCAAGGAAGAGAGCGTAAACAAAAGTAAAGAGGACAAGAAAGACTATGAGGATGAGTATGTTTTGTCCTATGTTGACACCATACTGGCTTTGGAGCTTCCGGAAGAGAAGAGAAAGCTCAATGAAGAGGAAATGGTCAGTTTGTGCTCAGAGTTTCTAAACGGAGGAACAGATACTACTTCAACAGCGTTGCAATGGATCATGGCAAATCTAGTTAAGTACCCGCAAATCCAGGAGAAGCTATTCATGGAGATTAAAGGGGTTGTGCAAGATGGTGAAGAGAATATAAAAGAAGAGGAGTTGCAAAAGATGCCATATCTAAAAGCAATAATTCTAGAAGGCTTAAGGAGGCACCCGCCAGGCCATTTCGCGTTGCCACATGCGGTGACTGAAGATGTAGTGCTGGGTAAATATGTGGTACCAAAAGATGGAACTATAAATTTTATGGTGGCTGAGATGGGGTGGAATCCGAAGGTGTGGGAGGATCCCATGGTATTCAAGCCTGAAAGATTTCTAAATAGTGGAGGGGAAACATTTGATATAACAGGAAGCAGAGAGATAAAGATGATGCCATTCGGGGCTGGGAGGAGAATATGTCCTGCTTATGGTCTAGCAATACTTCATTTGGAGTATTTTGTAGCTAATTTGATTTGGAGATTTGAGTGGAAAGCTGTGGATGGAGATGACGTTGATTTGTCTGAGAAAGAAGAATTCACAGTAGTGATGAAAAATCCATTACAGGCTCAAATATGCCCGCGGTTGAAATAAATGATCAGGTTTATTATTATTATTATTATAAAAGATAAGGTTGATTTTGTCTAGTTGGACGATAGCTCTTCATGTAAGATGTAACTCTACTAGTTTATCAAGTCGGATGCTCCTATGTTTGTGTTATTCTTTGTTTGTAAATCCACCCTATTTCAACCCACGTGTCCATATTCACACACACACACACAAACACAAAATTAAAAATTAAAAAAAAGTTACAATTTTTTTATGGAATCTACAATGAAATTTTCGCAAAAAATTGGATTGCCTCGCGTCTTTATGCGACACAGATCCCATCACATTATCTAGTTATGGAAATTTCATGGCCAACTAGGTCCTATCCCAGAAGCTACAAGGAATATTCAAGACATACTCTGCTGGGCAATTTGAAGATTTCTTGGCACTCGGTCTCGTAACAAAAACAACATTTTAATCAAGAGCTGCAGCTCAAATTCATCAACGCCAAAATCCAAAGTAATTTATCTCTCTGAGGTGGCTTGTGCTGCAAATTAAAATGCGTTGTTCTGTTCTTGAGTGCGAAGAAAACAGCTTGTCGTGGAGGTCACGCTCCTGTTATAATCCATTAGTCAATTCATCTTGATAGAAAATAAGTCCATATTGTTGACTTTTGAGGATATTTATAATTTTCTATCTTGAACAGCTCAGTGGTCTTTTTCTCCACTGACAAGATATGCAAACAAATATAATAACTTACAAGTTACAAAGACAGACAGCAAAGTAATCTAGATTGGAACAAGTAAAATGGAATTACTCGTAAGACAATTTTTTTTTTTAATGAAACGATCAGCTTTGAAATCTGAAAGTCTTCATTGAAAATTTCATGTGCAAATATAAAAATGGGTGGACGGCACGTAGGTGAAGATTACTATAGCTTAGTTTGATTTAAAAAAAGGATTTAAAATGAAATTTTAAAGGTTATTTTTTAGTCCTAACATCTACAAAACATATTATTAAATTAATTCATAATGTCTAAAAACACAAAAAAACCACTTTAAAATTTATAATCAACCCAAAATAAAAAAAACATTTTCAAGGTTAGATATATTTTTTAAAAACTTTCATGGTAGAAAAAAAACACTATTTTTTAGCTTTGTTCATCATATGAAATTATTTGATATAAAAATTAATTATTTTTGTGACCAAAATTATTCTTAATAGAAACTCTTTCTAGAATTCAGCAATCCCCTCCCTCTCCACAACCCAAAGAAAAAATAAAAAAAAATTAATTTAATATAAAAATTAATTTTTTTAAAATTAGAGGGACTGGTATTACTTAAAAGCTAAAAAAATTAAAAGATTAAAATAAACTTTTCAAAAAAAAATTCAAAGTTTACCATCATTTTTACTTACCTTTCAATTTAACCTTTTTTTCTAAAAAAGATGTAATTTGATGTTAATTTAGATTTAAAACAGCTAAATTATACAAGATAAAAATTTAGAGATTAAATTAAGAGTTTTTTTAAAAAAATTGTGAGAGTATAAATAATAAAATAGCTACGGTGAAACCTTTATTTCTTTTATATAATAAAAATATAATTAACACTTAATAACTCTCTGCAACAATGGAGGACGCAATACAATACATTGTACCAAAAAACAAACAAACTAGCTAGAGATGAATTCCACCCATTTTGAGTCTTTGCTTTTGTTGCCAATAAAAAAAGACGTTCAAGAAATTAAACGTCCACTGGAAAAGAAAAATGCATCCACAATTAAGGTTAAAGAAATTAACTATATAATAAAAGAGGATTAGTATTTTATTGTAGCGTAAATTATTATTGTTGATGGTGAGTAAATTCATTATAAATTGCACTGTTTCAAATCACTGCATGCATAAATAATTTTACGATGGACTTGACCATTTGGATTTATTATCTGTTGGGCTCTTCATGTAAGATGTAACTCTACTAGTTTATAAAGCCGGATGCTCCTATGTTTGTGTAATATTTCTTCTATTGTTTAAATCTGATCCCATTATATCAATATTCTATTGGATGCTAATTACCTCCATAATTATTTTTGTTTATGTTATTCTTTGCTTGTTTTGTTTTTCTTCAGGGTTGCAGCAGCTAGGAAATTAATGGATCCCTAGTTTATGACAAACTTGAAGCATATTTCTTC